GTTGATCTAACGGCAGCGAGTGATGTTCATTCCATCAAGCAAGCCTTTAATTCTTCTCATGAATTTGATAAAAATGTGTGAAAAACAACACATTTACTGAAACGCCACCCTGCTGATGTTTCTGGCGAAGTCTTAAACGCAGAAAAACATGCAGCTCGCTGCTTTGGGGACCCTCCTTCTCATCCTGAATGGGCCTCAGTGGACGTTCAATCTGCTGGAGTGTATCATTGTTTACTTTAAGCTCCACTCTAAACAGCGGGGTTTCAACAAGCTGCACTTTTCAACGCTCCGCTGCGCTCGCTTGGACTCTGCTCGTGGGCGTCTGCCATGTGGCTCCGAGTCCACTGTTGTGGATTTATCAGTGAACAGATGCAACACGAATATGGCCGGTCTCATTACATAGATTAAAGTGCATTCTGGGGACCGCGTGTGCACGGCGACGCTGGACTCTTCTTTAAGAGACGCTCGTTTGGGCCACCTAATGSGTTGGTGGTGGTGGTGGTGGGGGGGGGGTCTCAGAGCTCATTTGGGCTATTCCCATGGACTGGGGTCACTCAGTACGAGTAAAGTTGATGTTTAGAGCACGTGTGTAATCATCCCCATCATACTGCTGCCACACAAACCCATAAATACTGTGCTTATACTTACTAATGCAGGCATTTGTCACAATGCAGCTGTTTGCAGAAAACCTCTTTCTCGTCTGTTTTATCTCTTACTAACAGTGTGAATGCTGAGTCAGCATTTTGTCGTTTCGCCCCAGCATTTTAAAACTGTAACCATTTCAACAATTTTAGCTGTTTAGATGTAAAAATTACATTTTGGCTCCTTATGAATACAATTTTATTTATTTTTTGCATTTTTTACACATTTGTTACACATTTTACATTATTTACTTTTTTCCTTGAAATGCATAGAAATCATATTTACATCCTTAAAAACCTTTTGAAATCTACTTCAACACATTTGTCTCCTTATGCTTTCTTTATGTCTCCCTGTGTGTCCTCTTAGTTTTTTATGTCTGTTTATGCTTGCTTTTTGTCTTTTAATGTATTTTTTGTTTTTTTTATCTCAGCATGCTGTTAATTCCCTTTATGTTCGCCTTTAATCTCTCTATTTGCTGTTTTTATGCTGTTTTATTTCCTTTCTGTTATTTGAAGTCCCCTTTTGCTTTGTTTTGCTCATTTGCTCTCTCTTTTTCATTTTCATTACTCCTTATGTGTCCATTTCTGTGCTTTTTTGTCCTTTTGTGTGCTTTTAAGTCTGCTTTAGAGTCTTTTTTGTGTATTTATGCATCTTTTTGTCTATTTGTTTCATTTTTTAATGTCCTTATGCTTCATTTTTGATTTTTAAGCCTCTTTAATTGCCCTTTTTTATCTTTTTATATCTCCTTAATCTTCTTTCTACTTTTTTCTGAGCCTTTTTTAATGTCTTTTTGCTCCTTGCATCTTTTTCTCCAAACATGTCAGCTGGCAACACAAGTTTTGTTGCTACTCATCTCAATGTTACCTTTTTACAATTAATTTCTTTCGAATCATTCAGCTCCCAGCTTTTACACTTCATTTTGCAGAAAATTGAAATTTAGCTCATTTTTAATACTGGTTCAGATAAAGAGAAACAATATTTTCTTATTGCACCGGATTTTTCTTTTTTACTTCAATAATTTCCTGCTAAGTCAGAAATATGATCTGCTATCCTGGATCATCTTGCCAGTTTCTACTGCAGCCACATGGAAATTATTGCATTTAAAACATCTATTTTTGCTCTCACTCCAGCAAAGATGCAATCAATAATTTAGATGTGCAGCTTGTGAAGTTTTAGTGTCAGATCCTGCTGCTTTAGGACAGGAGGCTGCTGGAAAACTAAATTACATCTCTGCTCCCTACAGATTTAGAAAACTCTCCAATGCTTCAACCTGGGAGTGTTTATGTATTAGTCCAGATCACCTCTGCTGCCGTTGCTGCAGTGGCACCTGTTCAAATAAATACAGACCCTTTTTTTGGGGAAGGCTCGTAATAAAGTTAAATCAGTAAATACAACTTACTTAGTAAACCAGATTAGTTTCCGGTGAGGGTTGGACTCCGCCAAGGCTGCCATTTGTCACCGATTCTGTTCATAACTTTTATGGACAGAATTTCTAGGCGCAGCCAAGGTGATGAGGAGATCCTTTTTGGTGATCTTAGGATCACATCTCTTCTTTTTGCAGATGATGTGGTCCTTTTGGCTTCAGCAGATCGTGATCTCCAGCTCTCACTGGAGCGGTTCACAGCCGAGTGTGAAGCAGCCGGGATGAGGATCAGTGCCTCCAAATCTAAGACCATGGTCTTGAGCCGGAAAAGAGTAGGGTGCCTCCTCCAGGTCGGGGAGGTGGTCCTGCCCTAAGCGGAGGAGTTTAAGTATCTCCAGGTCTTGTTCACGAATGAGGGAAGAATGGAGTGGGAGATCGACAGATGGATTGGTGCTGCGTCTACAGTGATGCGGGCGCTGTACCGGTCTGTCRTGGTGAAGCGAGAGCTGAGCCAGAAGGCAAAGCTCTCGGTTTACCGGTCGGTCTATGTTCCTACCCTCATCTATGGTCACAACTTTGGGTAGTGACTGAAAGAACGGGTTYGCGGATACAAGCTGCTGAAATGAGTTTCCTCTGCAGGGTGTCTGGGCTCTCCCTTAGAGATAGGCTGAGAAGCTCAGTCATCCGGGAGGGCTGCTCCTCCACGTCAAGAGGAGCCAGTTGAGGTGGCTCGGCCATCTGGTTAGGATTCCTCCTGGACGCCTCCCTGGTGAGGTGTTCCGGGCATGTCCCACTGGGAGGAAACCCAGAGGAAGACCCAGGACACACTGGAGGGACTATGTTTCTCAGCTGGACTGGGAACACCTTGGGATTCCCCCGGATGAGCTGGCCCAAGTGGCTGGAGAGAGGGAAGTCTGGGTCTCTCTGCTTAGGCTGCTGCCCCCACGACCCGACCCCGGATAAGAGGAAGAAGATGAACGAATGGATGGATGGATGGACAGTAAATAAAAATGCTAATATTTGGATATTTTAGGACTTTTTATGACATGAAAATGCTTTGATTGAACTAGTTTGGATGTTTCAGGTCTTTCTGGAAGAATCTCCACATTCGTCTCAAATATTTGGCAGCCTCTAACAGGGCTTTTCCTCAGGATTGTCCTTTTGTAACATACTCCCCCACATCACGATTTACCACCACCATGTTTCACAGGGATGGTGTGTTAAAGATGATCAGATGATCTGCAGTGTGAGGTTTGCAGCCGAGTCAAACACTTTCCATTTTCAGATGGTGGATTAAACGGTGCTCAGTGAGACGTTCAAAGCTTGGGATATTGTTTGTGATTTGGTTTTGGTGCGTTCTTTGGTCTTTATGATGCTGTTTGATCACTAATGTTCTGTACCAAACCTCTGAGGCCTTCACAGGTGGACTTTGATTGCTAATTATTAATTCCTTTGTGTTGTTTTATCACAGTGCTTCTCAAATAGAGGTGCTGGGAGGGAACCAACCAGTTCTAAAAGATAAAAAAAWTTTTTTTCAAGTATTTAATGGTCTTTAAGAAGGAGAACCACAGAAATCAGGATATTTTACCTGGAAGTAAACAAATAAATTAAAATATAGATTTTTGAAGAACTCATTGACCTTAAAGAATGAGAACCACATAAATGAAAAAAACCTCACATATCTTGAAGTAAAACAATCATTTTTTTATCTTCAAAATTACATTTTAAATCAATTTGCAATTTTTGATTTAGGGGGTGCGTGACAGAGAATAATTGAGGTCACTAAATGGAACACTTCCCACTCAGATTTAAATATTTTCTGTTCGTGGTTGAACTTTTTCTTTGTGGGGCCRCATTTGTCACTTCTCGTTTTTATTAGTAAATCCTGTGATCTGAACCAGAGGTTGTGTTTTGGGCATTCACAGGAGACAGAACCTCTTGAAGTGATCTTTGCCACGAGGCCAGTTCGGACTGTAAACTCTGATTCATGCGGGACCTTTTGACTTCCTGACAAATGGGAGCTGAGGTTGATCCCTTTCCTTCACGTTGCCATCCCTGTGTGCACTCAGCACTTCAGAGCTCAGGTGGAAAAMAAATTAAGTAAACCTGAATTTTTAAAGACAATCCTTTTACTGCAATCCTGCGTTCCTTCACTCATGTTGGTTCCTGTTTGCTGTATTGATTTTCTGCTAACAAAATAGAAAAGTCTGTTTTTTTTWAATTTACCCTTATAATTGCAGTTTCAAGATTTGCGATCTATCTATTGCATTTACATGTCGAGCAGAGCAGTTTCAGCCCACCCTTAGTGTCAGTGTATTTGCCTGACGCTGACTTTGAAGTGACAGGAAGCTGTGCTTACAGTACATCTCCACATCAAAGTTTTGGAGAAACGCCTCATTTCTGAACACTTGTCAGACAGAGCGGGAGCGAGCGTTTTAGTCTGTCGGGCTGTCAGAGGCGCGCGGGGCTGGAGGTTTGAAGACAGGCAGCTCAGCAGTGGAAGATTTCACCACGCCTGCTTTTCCTCAACGCCTCTCATCCCTCCAGATTTCCGCCTTTTTAGAATTCCAATTTATCCCCAGCCTTGAARTCGGGCGAGGTAGGGATGGAGAAGTTTTAGAGGAAGTGTGGTGTTCTGTGAAGTACAGGGCCGGCGTTTTTCCAACGGTGACATCAAACAGTTTATGCTAATTCAAATGAAGGTGAGGCTCCAGGGCAGCTTCATGTAGAAATTTGAAATCTCGAGCTGCATGGGTGTTACGTTAACTTTAAACATTATGGTGTTTTATCTGTTAGAGGAATAGTTCGCTTCTGGGAGAATATTATCGCCCACTGCCTGAGGCGGGCAATGATGTCACTGCCCGTGTRCGTGTGCTCATTTGTCTGTTAGCGCCATGATAATGTGTCTGTTTTGAAAAGTACCAGCAAAGATATAGTTACTGGGTAGTTTTGGGGTAATTCAGATGTCCACTTCCACCCCTGTGTGTGTGTGCAGGTAGAGCCTCTCTGCACGGGAAGGCCTCCCTGCAGATTGACCCGGTACGCTCTGAGGACCAGGGCTGGTACGAGTGCAGGGTCCTGATGCTGGAGCAACAGTACGACACCTTCCACAACGGCAGCTGGGTGCACCTCACAGTCAACGGTGAGTCATTTGAACTTTTATTGTGAAAGGTCGTGTGATTATTGAATTGCCTTCCTGTCAGCTAAATATCTCATGGACCACTGGATGAATTTCAATGAAAGTAATCATTGGGTATACATCTACGACTAATTATAAGTTGGAGTCAGCTTGATTCAAACAGTTGCCGCAGCTAATCAAGCTCAACCGTAATACTAGTTGACAGTAGTTATCATTTCCTAACTACTGATCAGTACTTTTGGTCACATCATGAGTGCAGTTCTGTTTTTTTCTTTWAACACCTCGGGTAAAACAGAGCGAGAGGCTGGTTAGAGTAGGATTGATCGTGGCTCGTTTCAGGCGGTTCCAGCAGGGATCGTCTCTGATAGCATGAGAGCTATCAAACTGATGACCAGGCGGAAAAACAAATCTGCACCTTTGCATTTCCCAGGAATGCCCCAGTGGCTCGGAGAATCCAGTGTGGAGAGTGTCTTCTCAGTGTTGCAGAGCGCTGCAGACAGCGATGAGTTTGTGGTTTTTTTATGCTTTCAAACCTCGTTTAATGCGAAGAATCTTTAAAGAACTTCTCAAAAAGTACGGTAATCACTGGTTTGACATACACAACTGATTAACAATTGGAGTTAACCAAGCTGGCTGCCACATCTAAGCAACACCAAAAAGGCTATCTCAGCTACAATTTGGCATGGTAGTAGCTGAGAGCGATCCCCAACTTAATAATTCAAGTGATAACTGATTTAGTGAGATTTGTTTTTAAATCTTTGCCTTTAACTATTTGAATCAACTCTCTGTGTCTTTTAGCAAAGTATCTCATGAATCAATAAATAAATTTAAATCAAACTTTCAGAAAGTAATTGTTATGGACTAATTATCTGTTTCACATTGAAGCTGTCCAGTATTCATATATCTCATGTTCAATGTTAATCTGTGCTGGCCCAGACAACAGGACTCGGCAACGGACTGATCTCTCTTGTTTGATAAGAAACTCTTTGAGCTGGGAGCCCTGTGATAGGCTGGACAGTACATTTGKCGATCTGTGATTGGTTGTAAACTGTCACATGGTGTTAACATAATGTTATATTACTGGCTGCTTTCCGCTGACGTGTCAGCCACAAGCATACAGAGCTTCYTGATTGAGTCCTGTTTGTTTGTCGCTCAGAATTAAATCATTATTTACGACCATRCACGCAGACTTTCTGTGCATTATTCCAACGTGTTTCTGCATTCATGCGAYGACAGAAATCATTTGATTCTTTAGCTGAATAAGTTTTGGACTCAATCCTATTCAAGACGTCTGCTACAACCAGCTGCCCTTGAAAAGCACAAAAATGTCTAAAACTCAGCCAAATTTACAGCGATTTGGTTCAAAATTGTTTTGATTGTAGCTGAGCAACTCAAAACATACTTTGAGTGCAACATCTTAGCTTAAAATTTTGCCATTTATTGCTGGTGTCATCGGTGTTTGTCTGTTAGCAAAATATCACAAGACCCACTGGATGTGTTACAAGGAAGCTCTCAGAAAAAGATTACTGAATATAAATCTGCAACTGACTAACTTTCAAAGTCAAATGATTTCAAGATGGCTGCCCCAACTAMTTTACATTTGACTACACAAAAATGATTCTAACTGTGAAATTTATAGATGTTGAGTTGAAGTTTTGTGTGGTAGTAGCTGACAGTCATTCAAAACCCATATCCTGTCTGCTAATACATCATGCAGGATTTCTTAACGTAAGAGGGTTATTGACTAAAACTCTGGCATGAAAGGTAACAGGTGATATGCATTCCTTCAAGGAGTGCTACGCCTTTATTATTTTAAATAAAATAGTCGATCTAAGTGACAGAAAGTGAAAAGTTCTGAGTAAAGGTGTTGCTTTTACTTGTGAGGCTGCTGTTAAATAAACTCGAGATGCAACCGTCAGTCTCATGTATATTTTGGGTCTGTGAACTTATGATTGCTGCGTGAAACTCGTGCTTTCTTGATTCAATTGTGCACGAGTCTCACTGCCGTTTTCACCAGACTTGAATAATGATCACCGTGCACGGTGTGTACAGTTCTGGGTAAAGAACCGTTTACAGAAGCCATGGCCCAGCATAATCACTTTGAAATAAAAACACTGATTCGTGTAAACACTCRTTATCAAAGCTGAACCTAATGTTTTCCGGAAGTTTGCGTTGTCAGCGTGAATTAGCACGTTTACCCACGACAAACGACTTTCTGCTCAGTATTCTGAGCGCATAACAGCCACGTTACAAGAGCTTGCATGTAACTAAAGGAGAGATCTGCTGGCTGGTTTATGATGAATCAGGCGAAGCGGTCACTGAGTGTAAACCTGCAGGCGTTTGTACAAATGTCTTGTTGTGTTGGCATACTGCAGCTCTTTAACCACCTCATTAATATTCCATCTTAACTGCTCCCTTATTACACCTCTGTCGAGGTTTTTAACAGAAACTGAGCTGCAGAACTCATATTAAATGAAAATTTACATCCTTTGAACTGTAGTTTATTGAAAAGATTATGAGCAATGAATGTCTTACCTGGCAGTTTAGAGAATTTCGACTAGTTTGACAAGGTCTAGTCAGCGGAAGGCTAAAACAAAAGCGTATTTCTGCCATTTTAAAACAAATCTAGTCTTAACTATTTCATAACAAGATATGCAAACACTATTGTGCAAGCCTTTAAAGGGATAGTCTGGTAATTTTGAAGAAATGTTCTGTCAAGTAATTATTAATTAGGATCTTATGAGCACTTGATGGATTGATACATTCAAACTGGTACTATTTCACAAGTCTGAAAAATGTTATAGAAGGGTCCCTGTTTTAGCTATCCATTAGCCGCTAGCATAGTGTAGCCGACAATAAAACTTCTTTCATTTTCTTTATCTTCAGTTCTTTGTGACTGATGTCATGGCTGATGAGGTGATAACTACCGAGAGCTATTTGACAGAATCATTTCATTTTCATGAGCTCCATGGTTATTAGCATGTGCCAATAATAGCAGCAGCTAGCTGTATCACTTTCTGGTGCAGCCTTGGGCACTTCACTGACGAAAGTCATAAATGAAATGTGAAAGTTTACAGAATAGCCATTACTTTTTAAGTTTAAAACTGTTTTAAGAAGGCAGCAATCCACTTTGTTCATTAGCTCGTCAGTTTGGTCAAAATTAAACTTTATTTCTCCAATCTGATGTTCTTAAAACTGTCTGATACAGTTAAGATACTAATTGTTCGTAAGGTTTCAACATAAYCCCACCTCAAAATCTAGCTTCCAATTCATGCCTTATTTATTGCTCTTTTTTCACTTCCTGTTTTTGTAGTATATTTGCCAAACATGAACTTGCAGGTGAACGTGATCATTTTCCCAGTTTTTGCATGAATATTTTATTTATTTATAATTTTAAGGAACAAGCTTGTTCAGAGTGTAGACATCTAACAGAGGAGTTGAGGCATTATTTTTCTCTAAATGGGAGTCTTTGAAGGAAGCAGGTGCCCTTTTCTTCTGGCCGCTGCTCAGACACTAAGGACAGTCATTTCCTTCGGCCGCTGGGATTTGCATAAACTCTTCCTTTGAGTTCCAGTTTGTTGGACTCAACTTCCTGCCAAGCGGACAGGGAATTCATGCCCACGCGGTGGCAGGTGTCAGATGGCAAGGCCTCCTGCCCGAAGAGGACACTGAGGCCAGTCTGTCTTGGTTTACCCCTCCTTTTTTTAAATTCCCTCCTCTCTTTTCTCTTACTCATCCTATCTTACTTGTTGTCTCGACTTCTAAAGCGTCAGTAAGTGTTTTAATGATAGGTTAATTAGCAAAATATTTCATGAAAGAGTGGACACAGTTTAATGAAACTCAGGATGTATTCACTGGATTCAAAAAAATGTTTAAATAAACCGTGCGCAGCTTCTTCAGCTCTTTCTTTAATGCCTCTAATTAATGACGAGCTGCAGTAAGTAGGGCAGGAATTTACTGCGCAGGTTGCTTTTTTTTTTTTTCACCGTGCAATTCCCAGGTTTCCCAAACCGTGGCGACGCGTCCTCCGTGATGAGCCGGAGCTGACGGTGTGAAACGAATCCCAGGTGGACCCGTGTACCTGCTGTCACCGGTAACGCCACGAGTGTCCCGCCACTTCCTGTCAGCTGATGTGCCTTCCCTTGAGAAAAATCTAAATTAGTCTCAAAAATTAGACAGCAGCTAAAGTGGTGCTGGTCAGGGCTTTTACTTGGCTAAAAATACCAGCAGCACAGTGTTTGAGGAGCTCATTATGTTCAAAAAAAGCTTATGTTTGCTATTTAAAAGAAAAAGTAAAACATTAGGTACCGGTAAATACAGGTGTCCCAGTATCAAACTCAGCCTCAAATACCTCATACTTATACTCAATAAAATACGTAATACTTTGGACTGATACCACTTTTTATGTTTGGTGACGTTGTTTCCTTTTCCACTTTTGTAACTTAAGGCAGAACATTTTTTTTTTTAAAGCCTGTAGTTTAAAGATATTTTAAGATGATCACAGCTGACAGCAGACTGTTTGCTGTGCTTTTAACAAAAGAAGTGATGCACTTGGTTGAATTAAACGTGCATATTTTGTTCGCAAACACTGCATTCCATTGAAAATCAATGACGTAAATCCTAAAATAGAAGCACAAAGTTTTAGCAGCCCAACTGGGTCAGGTTCAATGTCTCCTGTGATGTGTTTCTGATCAGTTTAATATCCATCGACCCGTTGGCCGAACGAGCGGGAACACACGTATAAGTCCAGCATTTCGGTGTAATGTAACGAGTGTTGGGGAGTGAGAGGGCAGCGTGGACAGACAGATGTCTAAATGTGCTAATTGGGCAATTTGTTTATTCCATGCGAGGTGCTTGTGTGCAGTCTGAAGCGTGGCAGCACTCCCAGCGGCAAGCACTGACCCATTTTTACCATGGCAGCCWTTTTTTTTTTGTTTGTTTCCCGTCTAAACTGAACACAGCACCACCGTTTATACTCAGAACATCATGCTGGAAGGAAGCTGCAGTTTACTGGTCTGGAGGAGATGATTAAAAGCTTCATTGTGGCTCAGAAACATCAGGTGGAACTTGATAAAACATCTATTAGCATAGACAGGCTTAACAGTGTATCTTTGCCCAGTGCTTACATATCTGTGTAGCAACACGGATGTTGTTCGGTTGAGAAAATAGCATCTAAACTAAAGAAACAATGCAAAAGTGTTAAAGTGTTAGTCTTAGCTATGGTAGCGTTCTTTCACATTGTTGTGTATTTTTTGAGAAAGAACTGTTTCATAAGCCTGAAAAATGACGAAAAAGGAGGGTTTGTTTGGGGAGCCAGCAGTGGTGCCTCAAAAAAAAAGGGGGGGGGGGGGCATGTGGGGGGCCACTGAAAATCCTGGGATGACAGCAAAACCAAAAAACCCAAATAGAATTTCAGGAGATTTGTTATATTGTTGTCATATATGGATCAATTGACAAATACGGCATTACAGGAGTTGAATCACCTTCTGAGCTTTATACAGGGCGAGTCAAAAGTTTCTGGACATCCTTTTACTTCATAAACAAAAGGGAAAATGACATATCTGGCAGCCAAAAAGAGGGCCCCTCACTCACTACTTGCTGGGGTATTTAGATACGTCATTTTCCCTCTCGTTTCTGAAGTAAAGGGTGTCCTGTAACTTTTGACTCACCCTGTAGTTCATGTTTGGGGGTGGGATTTACAGTTACTATTACTTATTGAAAAGAGCACTGTTACCACTCAATATATAAAAGCTTGTCCTCACCTAAAATTGCATATATACGGGGGGTGTGTGTGTATGTATGTATG